TCTAAACATTAAATAAAAATTATTTAGTTCTTAGTTAAATTTGATTAAAGGTTTTATTTTAATTTTATATAATTATAAAATTAAATTAAAAAATTTTAATTTAATTTAACTAAATAAGTGCTTAATATTTATTGTTTAAAATTTATTATCCATTACAAATCAAAGTTAAAAATTTAGCATTTTCAATACTTTTATTTACTTTTAATTTAGTCTCATTATAAATATCTTCTAATAATTGATTAGCTATTTTTTTTTTGGAGACAATTTAAATGAAGGTTTTAATTTTTTAATCTAGACTTGAATTGGAACTAGTTCACAAAATGAAAAAGGAAGACCACATTAAAAGACAGCTTTTGAAATCTGAATTCAAGATTGTCTTGTTCATTTATTGTAATATTATTAAAAAATTCTTAATAATTCTATTTTGTAGTGTTTTTTTGAAGTATTTATTAATAAATGAGAAGCAACATGTAAAGATGTTATTTTTGGATAACCAAAATAAGATTAGTAAGTTTTATTATTAATTTTAGACTAATTTTTTAAATATAATTTACATTTGTTAAGTTCTTTATTGCAAGTATAAGAACAATATTTGCATTTAACTCTTGGTTGTTTAAATGAAGGAATTATACCAAAATCATTATAATGAAGATAAACTAAACCTAGATTTGGTGGCATTTATTTATTAAATTTAATAATGCCAAAAATTTAGAAAGAATTTAAGAATTTATAATAGTTTTACAATCTTTTTTACAACAAATATGTATGATTTACAATATTTTTGTAATATATAACAAATTAGGATATAAAAGAGTTTATTTTAAATTAAGGTTTGTATTTGTGTTATTAAAAAATTCTACTTCTAGTTAGATAGACTATCAAAATTTGATCTTATGATTCAGGTCAAATCAAATTAATACTTATTATAATGTTTATTATTTTATTTTATTTTTTAATTTTTCTATATAAAATCTTGATGAAATAAAATATGTATAATTCGAAAACATGCATATAAATACGCATTTATGCGCATAATTGAAGAACCATACACATGTATAAAACCTATCTCTAGCAGGGTTACACCTGTTATGGCTATGCTAAGTTGTGCAGACTAAGATACTAGTCAAAACCAGTATTTCAGTTTTGCCTAATAATGTCTGACAAAACTATTTTACAATAATGAAAGACTTTATCATTATGGTTTATTTGATAAAACATTTGATAATTGATAAAACCTCTAACAATTGAAAAAACCTTTAATGATGATTAATGAAAAAAGCTATGCTAATTTTTTTAAAATTTAAGCAAAAATTTCTTGATAGCTACAAAATTATTTTTAACAAACTTTTTATTGAATTCTAAAAAATTGTAGAATTCAAATAAAAAAAGTTAATCAAATTTGGCTTAGTGGTTGTCAAAATACTATCGCTCAAAAGTCCAAAAATTATGATTCAACCTTTATTGATAGATGGTTTGAATTTTTTGAAACAACATCTCAACAACTACAAAGTTAGTTTTAATAAACTTTTTTTATAAAAAAAAAGATCATCAAATATTATTGCTCAAAAATTTAAAAGATCAAACCATCTATCAAAATAATTAACTATAGCTGCCGAAACAAAATTGGACCAGAAGATCCTTGATTTTGATTGGTAACGGCTAAGAATCTTCAAAATTTTGGCTCATATTACAAAATTGTTTCCTAATTTCTGGCTAAAATCAACTTTTTAAATTTTTTATTACAAAAATAAAAATTCTTAATAGGTATCCGTAAGCTGTACTAAATTTAGTACAAAATACTGAATTTAGTATAAAACTATTGAATTTTTGAAAAATTGTTATTATTAACTTTAAATTAAATTTATATAAAATATAATCCTATATCTATATTTGATTTTGGTATATTTAAAAATTTGATAACTTAATAAAAGTTATATTAATAAGTTTAAAAATTATAACTCAATTTTTTTTTTGTTAAAGCTGTAAAAAAAAGTAATATTATTGCAAATAAAAAAAAATTTATTTGATTAAACCATTTTTTTTCTTTAAAAGTTGTAAAGCTAAATTTACTGAATCTAATGATAGTAAAATCATTAAAATTGGTTTAGTAGATAAAAAATTATATAAAATTAAATTTTATTAAAATTTTTATATATTTTACTATATAATATATATAAAAAACTAACCATTTTTAGACTTGTATCACTATAAAACAGGTTTATTTAAACTATTTTAAAAATTTATTATTTAAATAAAATAATTATTTTAAAATTAATTATAGATTTAAAACAATTTAAAATTTTTGTATTTTTATAATTTTATTATAAATTTTTGTACAATATAATTTTTTTAATACTATACTAGATTAAGTATATCAAAATTTTAATAAAATACAAAATATTCAAAGCTAATTTATATAAAATTTTTATTAATAAATATTAAATAAAATTTTGTATAAATATTATTCTAATATATAATTATATTTTGACAAAGTTTAAATAAAATTAATTAAATAATTAGCTCAATATAATTTTTTTTATACATACTAAATTTAGTATCTTTGGCCTACAGATACCCATTAATTAAAATTTTTAATTTAAAAAAATTGTATTTTTTATATCTTAAAGTTTTTTTTTTTTTTTTTGGTATTAAGGTGACCTTTTTGGCCTAGGAAACTTTTTATTAAAATATAGATGGAGTTTTATACAGTATATAATTACAACAATAGTATATCAAGCCACATATGCATCTTTTGAGTGTCTATTTAAGTAGTCTACCTGAAGGTTTTATACTATCTGCTGTACTTGCACCCCAACTAGTAGAGGTACCTATTTAAACTATCTGGTTCTAACTACCTCCATCCACTTTCTAACCTGGTAGGTTTATCTTACCATTTATATGCTGGATTTTGAATATCACTTAATCTATATTTTGCTCCCTACCTTAGAACATTTTATTATCCTCGAGATAAATCTAACATAGTGGTACATGTTCCACACATGTATTCACATGCTTGTTCCTATAACTTCTTTCTAATTAGTACATATTGATCTGCCATTCTGTATTCATATCTTATGCTACCTTTTGGGGTGCTGCTGTTCTACAGATGTTTTTCAAGCACCAACCTTTCTAACTAGGCACCTATTATGTATTTCTTGCTTTTGTTTTGGTTTCTAGCAACCCCAGTATCCTGCATTTAGATCATCTTCTTACCTGGATTTTTTATTAGTCCCTTCTTTACTTCTAGCTAGCAACCTAAAAGAGCTAGTTTGCCTAGGCTTTAGATGCCTAAAGGACACCTCCTCTTGGTTCATACTTTCAGAGTATATGTCCTTTTCCTCCGGTGCAACAACCTGGCAATTTGGTTGGTATATCCTTCACCATTAGGACCTGGTCACTCAGTTCTTGATTTCAGGCCCCAGTTCGAATTCAGCCCTCATGTAGTACCATTGTAGATCACTACTACCTTCAAACTTGTAACTTGCCAAATAGGTTTTTGGTTATTTTGGTTCCCTGGATTTATTGTACTGAAGCTTTCATTACTAGATAGTGTGACCAAGGTTACAGATTAATTTAAATCCAACTGATAGAAAACTATTAACCGTACACAGGCCTATTTTTTAAAACCATTGCCAGTGAGATTCAAACTTTAAACCTGCCGGTTAAAGAGGTGATGACTAGACCACTACACTAAATCGCCACATCTCATATTTTTATATCTTAAAGTTTTAAATAATAAAATATTATAAAATTTATAAAAATATTAATATAAAAATAAAAAATATATAATATGTAGTATTGTACAATTTATACTATATTTTATTAGACTATTTTAATATAAATTTTATAATATAAGGTGTGGTGACTTAGTGTAGTGGTCTAGTTATTACTCTTTCCAAGTGGCAGGTTTAGAGTTCAAATCTCACTAGCGACAATATTTGAAAAATAGGCTTGTATTTGGTTGACAGCTATGCTTATCGGTTGGATCTAGAACTAAATATATAATTTCAGTTACACCATCTAGTAATAGGAGCTTTGGTGCAATAAATCTGATAAACCAGTATAACTGAAAACCCATTTGGGAAGTCCCGAATTTGGATATAACAGTGATCTTTGATGGTATCACAGGAGAGCTAAATTCAAACTGGGGCCTGAAATCAAAGAACTGAGTGACCAGGTTCTATGGTAGAGGATACACTAGCCAAACCACCAGGTTATCACATTGGAGAAAAAGAGCATATGCTTTAAAAGTATAAACCAAGGTGAGGGTGTCCTTCAAACACCTAAAGCCTGAACACACCAACCCTTCTGGGTTGCTGGCTAGAAGTAAGTAAAGAACCAATAGAGAATCTGGATAAGGAGACAGTTCTAAGTGTGGGTAATCCCCTAGTTGGGTTACAGGTACGGCAGATAGTGTAGAACCTTTGAGTGGACTACTTAAATTAGGCACCAAAAGTGCACATGTGGCTTGATGTACAGTACCTTCGTCACAATCAAATAACTAACTCACCCCAAGCAATAATATAATTGGTTAAAATATAAAAGATGCTATTAAGTAAAGGCTTCTTGTAGCTCTAATTAAAGTTGTAAAAAAGGCTTTTCTAATTCTAATAGTAGTTAAATAATTAAAAAAGAAAAAACTTCAACGCAGTACTATACCCAGCCTCTTTAGCGCCAACCGGGTATCGAACTTAGAACTATTAGATTACGACATACCTTCTGTACCAATAGAGCTTGATAATAGTGAAATGCTTTAATACTGTAATTTTAGTAAGTCTATTTGTACTTTAAGCAATCTGGTAAAGCACCATGATCTAGGTTTTCTATATATCCTATACTGAACTTACAAGTTTGAGAAAATACGTGCCCAGACGCTAGTTTAATAAATCCAGGCTTTTACCATTATGCTGGAAATGCATATACGTATAACACAACTCATGTTACACAGCATCTCTATCTAATTTCTCAAATCGTGATTTACATGAACAAAATCTCAAAGTATGACATCCGAATTCGAAGCGAAGCATCAAGATATGAGTGATGCTAGCGGCTTTACCACTGAGCTAACAAATACTGAAGAGCTTCCTATTCCACCGGATACTGTCGATCACTACGCTGAAACAGATGTCAAATGGCGTAAACAAGACGATGAGCCTCTTTTATATAGAGATAAGTATATTGCTGTTACGACTACTTACTTATATATTTTTAATTACTACATGCCGGATGGGAAAGATAAGGCAGTTGATTTGACGAGTATAAAAAATATTCAAACTGATAAAGAGGCAAATGTTTCCGGCTGGGCATTTCAAAAATGGTATGTTTGGTTTTGTTGGATACTTTTTTTTGTTTGGCATTTCTATTTTATATACATGTCTTATCTGTTATTACTTGAAGGGGCGCTGGATCAATAGATCTTTGGGTATGGTATACTCTAATAAATTTTTACGCGCCTGAATTACTTGATGCACTTGGATTGTCTCATTTATTAATAGTATTTTTTATTAACTAGTGGGCAAAAGATTTTGGAAGATGGCAGGGCCATGATTTGTGTGTGATTGTTACTGTTGATCGTGGTATGATCAAACGAAAAGGATTTACTATGGAAAATATTAAAGGCTTGCATATTCTCAAAGAAGCTTGGAAAAAAGCGAATGGGCTACCCTACGAAGATGATGGATAATTAATTGTGTAGAATTATTAGCCAACGATATTCATATTACCTCGCTATTGTAAAATCACATAATATTATTACATATTTAAATTTATTTAACACTTAAAAATTGCAGGATTTAAGTCAATGTAACATTTATAATATTCGAAGGTGTAAGGTATCTATTAGATTTTTGATTATAAAATAATAATAATATATATATATAATATTAATTAAAATTTTAACGTAGCTAATAGATGATTTTAGTGATAATTCGAAGAGTTTTCTACTATAATCCATTCAATACGGTTGTATTTAAATAACATTTCTGTGATGTGATGTAGTCGGTCTAGTCACATCAAATATCAAATATCTTAAAATTTAACCTTTTTCTACAAAAATCTATTTGTCACCGGCAGTAGTCAATGGTTTAAATCATAGTATTTTTTTTTTTTATATGACCTTGGTCTTATAATTATATAGCTTTTTTAGTCATAGATAGTATTGGTCATGTTAAATTCTACTTTAAAAAAATTTTTTACTATTATTCTTATGATATTCAAAGATCATAAAATCAAATAGCCTATAATCATTTACCAGTAAGATCGACCAATTAGATCGCAAAATTATGTGTAAATGTAAAATCTTATCATACATACGTACAGTATACTACAGTGATGTACTTATCCTGATTTTCAAATTTCCTTATTTGGAAGTGTATCAAAAACGAAGCAATAGTTTTAGGTTAAGGTTAAAGCAAGTTTATAAGTAAAATTACTCTTGTCATTTTTTTTATTAGTATCCCAAAGTAAGGTAGACGCCCGTTTTCTGTATTTTCGTTTTTTTTTTAAACCTAAATTACTTAACTACAAGATATATAATGTTTTTAAACTTTAGCAATTAATCTTTGATTAAAATTTTAGCACTAGTTATAATCTATTTTCAGGGAATAATTTACGAAGAGTTTTGAAAAACTTCACATGAAAGACAAAATTTAATTGAAAGGTTGAAGGTAGTGAAGATAATTAAGTAAATATTAAGAATGCTAGGCCGGTTAGCTTACTTTTAGACAGTTACATTGTATTTCGTATTAGTTTTTGGTATGTTGAAAATCATTTGTAAACAAGGGAATTCTAATTTGTGTACGTGTAGATGCAGAAATATGCACCTAGAAAATGTGTACCAGGTTGGGATCGGATGATCGTCCGGAAAGTTAGATCGGAACAGTATGAACATTCGGAACTAGAAACAAATTTACGTGTTTACATACGACGTCATCTAGCTAATAAAATAAAATCACTTATTGATCATTGGTTTATCATTATTTAAATTATAATACTCAATAATGTTTTTTGTTTTTTTTGTTTTTTATTCTTGCAAAAAATAAAAGCAATGTAAAATTTGTTATAAGCATGAATTTTATATTGTAAGCTTTATTTCGTTAATTACATGCAAGAAACCATCAAATTAGGACTTAACTAAACAAAATAATAAAATATATCAAATCTACCTATGCCACTTCGCCCAATACTTTCGTCGCTTATGAATCAAAAGTTGAAGCTATAATAGCCAAATGTGTAAATAAGCAATGTTCGATCGTCTAAAAGTGATATTAATATTAGGTTGATATTTTAAATCTTAATTATAATAATAACAATTCAGAATTTATTTAAAATATATAGCAACGAAGATCTAATAAACATATTATATTCAGTTAATATAAAATGCACCTATGGTTAGGGTTGGCAAATTACTGTAATTTTACGTAAATTTACGTAATTTTAAGTAATTTTACGAAAATCAATTTTCATGTA